CCAAAACCCCAAAACCCCAAAACCCCAAAACCCCAAAACCCCAAAACCCCATGATCTAAAATATCACAGAATTTAAAAATTTTACGAATTCAGCAAGGATATTATACAAAGCGTTGATTTAAGTCAATATATCACTCAAAAAGATATCTCTCTTTTTATTCCTAAGTTTTTAATCGATTTATTATTATCTCTGAGCTTCTATGATTTCATCTAATTTTAGTCTTGATTTCTATGGCCATCATCCTTTTTGGAATTGAATTGAAGTTTTTATTGCTTTTTTTAATCTTTTTCATCAGGGTCATCTTTCCAATTAATCTCCATTTTATGGTCTTCTAGGATTGAGTAGCAAGTTTTCCAACTAAATCTCACTAAGGTAGGGAATCCAAAGACTGGATCTAGATTTCTTTTAAGCCATTCTTTTGCTTTAGGATCACTGGGATATCCACACCCATAATCTTTATCGATTCTTTTCTATTCTTAGTACACCCAATCTGCTAATACTCTATCTCTAGTTACTTTTGCACAAATCGATGATGCAGAAACAACAGGATGATTGAGATCAGCTTTTGATTCAACTATAATTTCAATTCTGCTATCGTTGAGTCTGCTTTAGAGAAGTCTCTTATATGACTCTGGCTGTCCAACTGTATCTAATATTACCTTTGTCACATTCACACCTAGCGCCTTGACTTTATTGATGAGATCGATTGCAGTATTGTGCGAAATAGTATTTAGATTCTTTCCTCCACTTTTTGATTCTGCAAGCATGAGATTTGACAAGAGATCTGCATTCAAGACAGTAGTAAAATATCCTAGTTCAGTATACTAACAAGATTTAATCTGATCGAACATCATTTCCCTTTATTCCTCATTCAATTGTTTCGAATCAGTAAAGCCGTACTTCTTTTTGAAGTAATCTTTTTTATCTAGAGGCCAAAAACAGCATCCATAAACCATCGGTCCAAGAACTGGACCTCTTCCAGCTTCGTCAATGCCAATCTCACATGTCTCATTCATAAATAAATACTTCTTTGGCTTCTCATTATTAATAATGGGTGTGACATTCTCGTTGAAATTAGCAGTAGCTATTTATTTTTTAGAACTTTTCATTGTTCCCCGCTTTTATCTTTGAAGTTAAATATTAATATATATTAATTTAAAATTAATATTGAACTTGCTTAAAACATGGTAAGTTACTTAACTAAAACAGAGTCTCTTACTTATATCATTTTTGATATTTCTCAAAATATTGGAATGGCTGATTAATTTATATAAGGATCCATCATAAGAGGCACAAATGAAGAAAGCTCAAGCAGAAATGGAGCAAAGAGAGTAAGAATTAAGATTAAATAATAGAATTTGCTAATAGGGCTGTGAGAGAATAAAAGAAGGCCATCATTCAATAGATCCTCACAAATGAAGCCAGAGAGAGATGTAAGTTAATAAAGGAGGTTATTGATGAAATATTTAGTGGCAAACATTGCAGTTGTTAAACCAGAAAAAGCTGAAAAGCTTGAGATGATTCTTATCCAAGTAAAGTATTATTGAGATAACATGTTTCTTAGAATGCTTAAAGAGGAGTCTTCTAAGGAAAGGTTTCAGAAAAGCAAATGATAGATCTATTAGAGCAGGTTAATGAAAGAGAACAGAAGGAACAAATGACAGTCTAAGTAAGTTATAAAATAGACTCATTGAATTAATGATAAATTATTTACAGTTCAAGAGAAAGAGATTCGATGATGATGATCTTGACGACTTAGGAATTTGATTTAATTAGCCTAAGAATATGATCGAAAAGCAGTATCGCTTCTTATATAATTCAAATATGAATTTAAACTTCGCTATCTTTATATATATCCAATAACTATTAAAACTTTGAAGGTTTAAATAATTAAATATATTCAAGAGAAAAGCTTGGCGAAAGCTAGGAGCTTTCGATTTCTTACTATCTCCTGATATAAATTTAGATTTTCTAGCATCTCAGATGCTCATTTTGTGAGATCCTTATATATAGTCATATGCTTTCTAAGGCAAGCTTGGGCGCATTCCTTTTCCATGGCGCTAAGATCTCTTGTTTGGAAGTCTACAACGCATTTAGAATAGCAGGTTTCCTAGGTATTGTAGAGATAACGAGTAACTGTGAGGAATTTATTTGCCTCAACTTGATTCACGGACTCCATTAATTATATTTCTCTAATTATAATTATATTGAAGATATATTGAAATTAACATTTATTCAGAGTGCCGGGGTTTTGGGGTTTTGGGGTTTTGGGGTTTTGGGG